TCAGGGGGGGGGCCGAATCGCCCCCCCCCCCGCCAGTTTCTTGTCCCGGCGGAGCCCGCCAGGAATAGGGTTAAGATCGCCACTAAAAGGCCTTGGAGCGGCCACCACGGGATAATAGAGTGGTCTTGAAAAAGACCAGTCTACGCGCTCCTACTGTTAAACAACTTGACTGAACGGGCAAGGCCACGTACAGCTGCAAGGTCCAACAGTATCCTGTGACCTTTCCTAAATTACCTACCTAGTTTTAACTTCTTGGAGGTAAGCTATGGTATTTCTGAGCATGATTAATAATGTAAATAGAGTGAATAACCTTATGCTCATGTTATATGTTGCAAATTGATATAATTAAAACTAAATTGATATATTTCGATATTGCACCGTCATCAGAATACCGTCATCTTTGCACCGTCATCAGAATACCGATATTGCACCGTCATCTTTCTGATGACGGTGCAATATCGAAATATATCAATTTAGTTTTAATTATATCAATTTGCAACATATAACATGAGCATAAGGTTATTCACTCTATTTACATTACCTAGTTTTAACTACGCATATAGGGCTGAAGGCCAGGCAGAGGCGACCGGCACCAGTTGGTGCGCGGATAGCACGGCGAACCGTGTGCGCCCACCGCTGTAACGTGGCGAACCGCCCCCGTCACAGCAAGTGTACTGACTTACCTCGACGTTTAGGGTATAATGTACTATTTCTTTGACGTCACCTCCATTATCCATACTCCAAATCAATACCTACTGCATTGATTACAATAACCGTTTTCACGACGACAAGCTGGCTTTCCTTTGGCGCACATGGTGTGAATTTGGTCAAATTAACTCCTAGCTTTTGGTGGGTTTCCAATTCGAGCTGAGGAAGCAATCACTGATCATTTGAATCATCCGGCCCCGCTCCGGTGCTGCCTGCAAAGGCGGAAGAGCTCCCCGCAGAGGGCGAGGATGGACTTGTAGGTGCCCCGGAGTGCGCCGAACCGGCCCCACTCCAAGGCTGCCCGCAACGCCGGAGGAACTGACAGAAGTCAGTGAAGTGCACCAGAGCGTGCCAAGGTCGGCCCCACTCTGGCGCTGTCCGGCAAAGCGGAAAAAAAACTTGATAGGACTTGCAAATGCGTAGAGGGAGGAGGTGCAGGGGACCGGCCAGAGGAGGAGTGGGGCTTTGGGAGATGAGGGTACTCCGCCTCAGTCAGCGGGGGAGGGTGGGGGTGGGGGGTCTGACTGAGGTCGAAGGGGGAGGAACAGGATTGGATGAGGGGTGGGAATCCACGTACGCGCGAGCGTCGCGGGGGTCCCAGCCCCTACGGATGAGGAGAGTGACCTGGGTCTCAGAGACCCAGCGGGGACAGGATGGGTCGTTCGCGGTGTGGGCGCCGCCACAGCCTGCGCACAGAGGATCTTCGGCAGGACACTGGGAGGATTCGTGCCCCGCCTCGGCGCAGTTGGAGCACGTGGGGGAGTCGGATCGGCAGTGCTGCTGGCGGTGTCCATAGCGTTGGCACCGCCGGCAGCGGAGAGGTTTGGCAGGGACTGCTCGGACGGGGAAGGAGAGGTAAGCGGCAAGGATGTAGGGGGGAGGTTCGGCGGTGGAAAAGGTTAGGATAGGATAAGAACCTTCGAAAAGCGGGGCGGGCGATACACGGCGGTAACGCCCACCCGGGAGAAGCCCTCCTCCAGCTCGGACAGGGACAGGTGTTGTAGGAATGGAGCGTAAATGGAGCCCTGGCTTTGGTTCAGGTGGGGCGGAGCCCACACCTTCACCTCCGCACCGGCGATTCGGCGGAGACCGAGCAAAGCCCGCTGCTCCGCCGCCTCGCAGGCGACGAGGAGGTCGCCCCCTCGCAGCGGCCGGGCACGGGGACAGCGCCCGATCGCCGACGAGAGTGCGTCCCCCACCGCCCAGGGGAGAGCCGTCCATACGGCGGATGCGGACAAAGGATGGGACAGGAGCAGAGGAGAATGTATAGAGGATGAGGCAGGGTTACGGGACATGGTGGAGGCAGGAAAGTGAGGTGGGTGTGGGAGTGCGTGGGTGTTGAGAGGGTGGTGTTGGGTAGTGGTGGTGTTGTATGAGCGTAAGTGGGTGTTGTCTTGTGTTGTGTTGGTAGTGGTGAGGTGTAGCAAAGTGTGACTTACAAACGTGGTTGGTGTCGAGACGAAGGCAGCGGCAGCGAAGGTAGCAAGTCGGTTGAAGAGCGAAACACGACTCGCGTAGAGCGAAGGGGTTGAAGTCTTAAAAGTGCCGTGGGACTTGGTGACGATGACCTTTCACGGTCCGTTTGGTGGCACCGAGGACGGAGGGAGGACGGCCGGAGGCTCAGCCTCTCCGGCGCGCTGGCCAGGGGCCATGGCTAGGCCGCGTTGTATCAAGTTAATAATGTAAGTAAATAAGCAAGTAAGTATTCCCCCCCCCCCCCCAATGGAATACCAGCGAGGTGGTATTCCATTGGAGGAAGAATTCAGGCCGTGGTTGATCAGTGTTGCTATTCATGTTTGTGTTCATTTGTGTTTCTTATAGAGGCGGGTGATGGGTCGGGTCCGGCTAACCGTCTCCCACTCGGTGTCGGTGGCGGGTTCCGAGAGTGGAGCAGAGTGTGTGGGTGAGGTGGCAGCGCTCGTCTCCGTCCGCTCGGACAGAGGGGAGTCCGGCTCCAGCGTCGTGTTCAGTGACGTGTCTGGTGTCGTTGTTCGCGGTGGCTGTGGGTGAGGTCTCTGTGGTCGGGGTGGTGTTCGTGGTGGAGGGCTCGGAGGGCGCTGGGCACTCCGCACCGGTGGAGGGGGCGGCGAAGGCCTCACCGGCGCGGCGGGGGCGTGTTCTCGTTTGTTTAAGCTGGGCGCGGAGTCGGTACACTCGGGGGCAGATTGATACAGATACAGATACAGATGTATTCAAAAGAAATCCATACAATATGGCTTTTCATTCTTCTACGTCAGTTACAATGCGGACACAATGAGGACACATTTACACTAAACACACAAACCCATCATACATACACCAACTGATCACAGCGCATCAGCCGATCCCACGAGCCGCCTGACAGTACGGCGGAACCCAGGCTCGCCGGGAACAGTCTGCACACTGTTCAGTAACCTCACTCCCCGAAAACACATTCTCCTCCTTCCAGCTTCGGTACGAATGTTGGGGCATGTGATTAGCCCCGACTGTCGTGTTGCATGGGCATGCCTTTGGTCCGCTCTCGGTTCAATGGTGTTGTACAGGTACTCAGGCTGTCCCGTCTCAATTATACGCGCTAGCGCACACACAGTGTGGTAGGCAGCAAGTTGCTCTGCGTTCAGCCAGCGGAGCTCCTGCAGCGCCCCGCTGACATGGTCAAAGCGTCGTTTGCCCGTCACGACGCGAACACAAAAGTGAACAACTTTCTGAATGCGGCCGAGCTGGGTCACACCACATGTGCCGTACACGGACAGGCAATATCGCACAACTGACATCGCCAGCGCCTCCACAATCACCTTCAATGTCTGTTTCGGTAGCACGTGACGCGCATGTGACAGCCCTATCAGAATACCCATAGGCGGCGGAACGGGGAGGGCACCGGGGCACCGTGCCCCCCTTTGATTTTGACATTTCAACATTAGCCCTATGGGCGTTGCATGGAAAGAATGGGACCAAAAGTCGGCAGTGCCCCCTCTTAACTGAAGGTGTTCCGCCGCTACTGAGAATACCCGTACATTTCCGTGAGATGTATGTCACGTGAGCTTCAAAATTGAGGTGACGGTCAATGTACACACCGAGGTTCTTGAACTCTCTCGAGTCGGTAATCATGTCCCCGCAAAAACGGACAACGACAGGCGGCAGTGTTCGGAGCATTGCAGGCGTTCCTAGCACGATCATCTGTGTCTTTTTAGTGTTCAGTTTCATGCCGTTGTGGCAAAACCAGTCATACACATGACACAGCGCGTCCTCCATGCTACCGATAAGCCTCTGGATATCGCATTTACGGCCGGACACTAGGAGCTGCATATCATCGGCGTACTGCACTATTGTGACGTCACTGGGCAGCCTCAGGCTCAAATCATTTGCAAAAGGCATATAGAGGATACAGCTGAGCGCTCCTCCCTGGAATACTCCTATGCTGTTCATTCGAGTGCGAGACAATAAATGACGCCCTCCGGTCGACTGCACGCGGACCTGCTGCGTGTGGCCGGACAGATAGCTACGAAACCACTCAGTGTCGATTCCGTAGAGGGCAAGCTTAGCCAGCAGCTTAGCATGTGACACCACATCAAAACATTTGGAAAGATCTAGCAGTACTAGTATCGATATGTCGCCCCTGTCCATAGCATACAACACTCTATCGGTAATGACATGAAGTGCTGTCTCGGTTGAACGATGCCTGCGATAGCCGTGCTGGGCATCTGCTAGAATTGATGTTCCACCACTCCCTACCCATCGGGCTCCCATGGCTCAGCACTGGCTGCTGCCAGTGGCAGCACTGGAAGCACTGGCACTGGCAGGCAGTGCTGAGCAGTGCTGAGGGCAGGCAATACTGGCAGTAGCCAGTGCTGAGCCATGGGAGCCCGATTGGTAGGGAGTGGTGGAACATCAATCTGCCCCCGAGTGTACCACAGTTTGACTGTGGTCGCGGTCGGTACGTAGGTGTCACGTTTCATGCGGTGCTCCTTAGCCGCCTGCTTTGTGTTCTCTCGGTGCCGTCGTTTCGCGTCTTGTACTACCGGGCACCCCCTGTCCCAGGACGGATGCCCCCCCCCCACAGTGGTGGCACAGGGCTATTAATACACGTATTAATTCCCAAAACACGTATAAAGTCACAGTATCAGCTAGACAACTGATAATATTTGCACAGTTTGTACACAAACATAGATGCAGGCAGGTTCAAAACAGAGTGTTACGGAATTTAGTGAACGCTTCTCTTGGCAGCGATTCAACGACTATTTTTTAGCAGTGGTTTAGTGTTTCGACGGTCGTCGACGTGGCCTAAGAAATGTGATGTGGTGCGCAGGAATCGTCTGATTCAATATATATACGCATTGAAATGGCTTGAGCCACGTGTCTCCAGGTCTGTGTCGGAGATTTTTCGGATTTATTTGAGAGTTGAGAGTTGAGTCAAGTTGAATTGTCAACATTTTGGTGCCGAAACCCGGGAATATTTACTGAGTTGTTCTTTCCCGTTTCCAGTCTGATATCGAGTATGGCGGAGATAGAGCGCTTGAAGCGTTCGAGGAACGCCGCCCGAGGGTGGCTGAATCGTGCAGGCGAGTCCCTGAGCGCCGCGCTGACAAGCAAAGATGCAAAGCAAAGTGACGCACAGACAAGCAAAGATGTGGATCTTTTTGAACTGGAAACCATGCTTGCTCTCTTTGATAGGAGGATGTGTAACTTTGAAGCCGCGCAGACGGCTCTTGAGTCGGAACAATCTGAGGAGGACACCCTGTCCGACCAGTCTTCAGGGTCTTTGGACCAGTTGATCATGTTGAGAGCGAGGGCCATGAAACTGCTGGCAGTCCACCAAGCAGCACCAGCTTCTGGTGCTGGGATCCGAGGTGAGACCCCCAAGCTACCAAGGTTGGACCTGCCCCGTTTCTCTGGAAAACCCCAAGATTGGCCTGCATTTTGGGAGGCGTTTTGTGTCGCAGTACATGATTCGAAGTTAGCAGATGTCACAAAGCTCACCTATCTGAGAACGTTGCTGGATGGTGAGGCGAAGAGATGTGTGGAGGGGCTCGCATTGAGTAGCGAGAGTTACAAGATAACATGTGATCTTCTGCAAGAGCGGTTTGGACGCAAGGATTTAATAATATTTTCTCATGTGCAAGCTCTCCTCAACCTTGATCCTATTCCTTTGGACAAGCTCCGTGACCTAGTAGATATCCTCCTCATCCACATCAGAAGCCTGGAAGCCCTCGGCATTACAGGAGAGTCCTATGGTGTCCTTCTAAATCCTATCATCCTTTCCCGACTACCCAATGCTGTCCGCCTGGAGTGGGCCCGTGAAGCCGAGGAGAAGGAGGCTGATCTTGATCATCTCATCGGGTTCCTGACGAGGGAGGTGGAGCGGCGAGGTCGCTCTGGTGTCTACGTGGGACTGGCTGGTGCTGGAGCATCATCTTCATCTTCACGAGCCAGTGGTGCCGGCGCTTCTTCACGGGCTGGTGGTGCCGGAGTCTCCGCTCGGGCTGGCAGTGCCGGCGGTTCTTCATCTTCGAGAGGTGGGGGCAGCCACCCTGCTGTCACTAGCCGGCGCCCGTCTGTGTACACGGAGGCGCGGGGCACCGGCCCTGGTCTACCCTCCGGGGCAGCTCTGCACTCATCTGAGCTTAAGTGCTCTTTCTGCGGTAAGGGACATGTCTCTGAGAGATGTAGAGTGTTCCAGCGTCTGAATCTCCGTCAGAGATTTCAGAAGCTTCGTGAGTTGTACGCATGCTTCTCATGCCTTGAGGTGGGCCATCGGGCCACTGATTGTGGTAGGATGTGTGATCGTTGTGGAGGTAACCATCACCCATTGTTGTGCATGGGTAAGAGTGTCGGAGTGCCATCCCGTGTAGAGGTAGGTGGTGTGGAGAGGGAGCAGACAGCTGCTCTGCCTCAGTCTGACTCTAGTCAGACTCAGAGTCTCAGTGTGGTGGCTGATGCAGCCCCGGAGGGAGGGCCCCAGGGGGGTGGAGGTGCGTCACTGTCATGTGATGGAGATAAGAAGTGTTCTGTGCTCCCTGTAGCAAGGGTGCTGGTGCAGGGTCACGGGGGGAGTCTTGTTGAGGCCAACCTTCTGTTGGATTCTGGCTCAGACACTACTTACGTGAGCAGTGCGCTTGTGCGCAAGGTGCAGCCGCGTTGGTGTGGCTCCACGGAGGTGGGGTATGCAGTGTTCGGAGGAGGAAAGGTTCCCAGAGCCACCCGTGACGTGTATGAGCTGAGTGTGAGTGGTTCACATGGTTCTGTATCTGCCCCTCAGAACCTCAGAGCTGTGGCGGTTCCAGCCATATGTGCCCCCCTCGCGCGTCCACTTCTGCCGGCCTCTGTTCTGGATCAGCTTGATGGTGTAGTCCTGGCTGACCCGCTAGAGAGTGAGAGTCTGCACATCGACATTCTGGTCGGTGTTGATCAGTTCTGGCAACTGGTAAGTGGGGAGACGCGAGTACTGCGAGAGGGTATGGTGGCTCAGAGAACTGTGTTCGGCTGGGTGCTGAGCGGTCAGGTGAGTGGCGTAGATGACCACAAGGGTGGATGTCAGCTCCTGTGTCTGGGTGACATACATGAGTCGGCGCTGCGCCGTCTGTGGTCACTGGAGGGAGTAGGTGTGACGGATGTGACCACTGGTGATGAGTCTGATGTGATGACCACGTTCGAGTCCACTGTGGAACGATCAGCTGATGGTCGTTATGTGGTGAAACTGCCATGGAAGGAGGGTGCAGTTGACCTGTTGCAGGATAACCGAGCTAGTGCTGAGAAGCGGCTGACTGGTCTGGGACGTAAGCTGGAGCGGGACCCTGACCTGCGTGCCCGTTATGATGGTGCCCTGTGTGAGATGGAGGGGGCTGGGGTGATTACAGAGGTGCCTGTGGAGGAGCTGGTAACCCAGAACCCTACATTTTACCTGCCCCACCGTCCGGTAGTCAAGGAGAGCAGCACCTCTACTAAAGTCCGCCCAGTGTTCGATGCGTCCGCTCGTGGGCCTAACGGTGTCTCTTTGAACGATTGCTTGGAGGTGGGACCCTGCCTCCTGCCTAACCTGCTGGAGGTTCTCCTGCGTTTCAGGCGTTGGCCGTTCGCAGTGACCGCTGACATCACGAAAGCCTTTCTGCAGGTCGGTCTGAGTGTCGAGGATCAAGACACCCACCGTTTCCTGTGGGACTGTGACGGTCGTGTGCGTGTGATGAAGTCACAGAGGGTCATTTTTGGTGTCAGTAGTTCTCCCTTCCTCCTAAGTGCTACGATTAGACATCATTTGTCTCTGTACCCTGATTCTCCTGCCATTCGTGAGATGCGTGAGAATTTCTATGTGGATGACCTGTTGTCGGGTGCCGACAGCGAGAGTGAGGCCTCCGCGCTGCTCTCAGAGGCTCAGCGTGTGATGAAAGATGCCCACATGGTGTTGACCAAGTGTCGCTCTAACAGCCCCCTGTTGTTCGACAAGGCGCAGGGTGTGTTTGGTGAGAGTGAGCATGTTAAGGTGCTCGGTGTGATCTGGAACCCGACTGATGACCTGTTCGCATTCCAGGGCGTGTCACTGCCTGACGACATTGTTCCCACAAAACGTGTCGTTCTCAGCTTTGTCGCACGCATGTTCGATCCCCTTGGATTCATCAGCCCGTTTGTGATGACTCTGAAATCTCTCTTCCAAGAGCTGTGGCAGCTGGGGTTGCACTGGGATGACCCGCTGCCGGAGTCCTGTCGTGAGACGTTCGCCAGATGGCTGAGTGGACTGGCGGTGCTGAAGGAGCTGCGTGTGCCGCGCCGCTACTCGCCGAGCGCGTGGAGGGACGGTCACGGCGCTGAGCTTCTGGCATTCAGCGATGCATCGCCCAAAGGGTATGGAGCTACCGTTTACATCCGTGTCCCTTTGGAGGATGGGTCATTTCATGTGTCGCTGGTGATGGCAAAGAGCCGTGTGGCGCCTGTTAAGAAGCTTAGTCTTCCTAGGCTAGAGCTTCTTGGCTGCCTGATCGCGGCCCGCCTGGTCGTGTTCGTGAGGAATGCGCTCCGTCTCTCGCACAGTACTCCGTGCCTCTGTTGGACTGATTCAATGGTAGCACTGGGTTGGATCAGGGCCGATCCACGTAAGTGGAAGGAGTTTGTGGCCAACAGAGTGACTGAAATTCAGAGTCTGACGGATCCTGAACGGTGGCAGCACTGTCCGGGGGAGTGTAACCCGGCTGACCTCACCACACGCGGGGTGTCTGCTGAGGAGCTTGTGAGGTCAGAGCTGTGGCTCAGTGGGCCATCTTGGCTGTCACACTGTCACACACCTGACGTGAACCAGTCTGTCTTGGTGCAGCACGATTTGTCCGGCGTCTCTGTGAGTTCTCCCGGAGGTGACGTGTGCCCCCGTGCAGGTGACGTGTGCCCCCGTGGAGGTGACGTGTGTTCCCTTGGTGGTGATGTGTACCGAGCTGGTGGTGATGTGAGCACGCCTGTGTGCTCACCAGGCGGTACCGTGCGCACGCCTGTGTGCTCGCCTGGCTGTGCTGTGTGCACGCCTGTGTGCTCGCCTGGTGGTGCTGTGTGCTCATCCGGCGGTGCGGCGTGCTCGCCTGGCGGGGCTGTGCGCACTCCCGGCGCAGCCGTGTGCTCGCCTGGCGGTGCTGTGTGCTCGCCTGGCGGTGCTGTGTGCTCGTCCGGCGGTGCGGCGTGCTCGCCTGGCGGGGCTGTGTGCTCACCCGGCGCTGCCGTGTGCTCGCCCGGTGCTACCTTGTGCACACCGGACGGAGCTGTGTGTTCGTTTGACGAGAAGGTGTCTGATCCTATTACTGAGGAGATGGTTGAAGTAGAGTCCTTCTGTTTGGTGACTTCACAGTTTGAGGAAGTATTTCCTGTTGAACGCTGGGGTAAGATGTCCAAGGCTGTCCGTGTGGCGGGCTGGGTCCGCCGATTTATACGGAACTGTCGTGTCCCAGCTGACAGGTGCAGTCTTCCTGATCTGACGACTCTCGAGCTAGCTGACGCGAGGCTCGATCTGCTGCGACAGGAGCAGCGGAAGGCGTTTTCTGGAGAATGGATCGCGTTGGAGAAGCGCCAGTCGCTGCCGAAGGGCTCGCGCCTGATCGGTCTCGACCCGTTTATCGCTGACGATAGACTTCTCAGAGTGAGGGGTCGGCTGGAGTTCTCTGACTTGATGTACGAGGAGAAGCACCCGATTCTGCTGCCAAAATGTCACTTGGCTGTGCTTTTGGCAAGAGAGCAGCATGTTCTTCTGAAACATGCGGGTGTCTCAACGATGATGACTTCGCTCAGAGGAGCGTATTGGATCTTGGGCTTGCGCTGCATCGCCAAGGGTGTGAAGCGCGGCTGTGTCAGCTGCCTTCGTCACGATTCTCGACCGTTCAACGAGGAGGCGGCGCCTCTGCCGGGCTGCAGAGTGACTCAGTCCCCTCCATTCACAGTGACTGGTGTTGATTTTGGTGGTCCCCTGTTCAGCGTCGATTTTCCACGGAAGAAGTTTTACGTGTGCCTGTTCACGTGTGCTGTCACGCGTGCCGTTCACCTTGAAATGACTGACGCCCTGTCGTTACCGGCATTCATGCTAGCACTCAGGCGTTTTTCAGCCAGGCGCGGTCTACCAAGGATCATGTACTCTGACAACGCACCTACTTTCAGGGGAGCTGATAAGCAGCTGCAGCGTGTCTACAGTCATCTGGCGCCTGAGTGGCGCTTCATTGTACCGCATTCGCCGTGGTGGGGCGGATGGTGGGAACGGCTCATCCGTTCCGTGAAAGTGGGCCTGCGCAAGTCGCTTGGGTCACGCTGTCTGTCACGGGATGAGCTGGAGACTGTGTTGTTAGAAGTTGAGTGTTGTGTTAACTCCCGTCCATTGACGTTTGTTGGTGATGGACTGGACTCGAGCCCCCCGATCACCCCGGCGCACTTTCTGACGGGCAGAGGGACCGGGTTCTCCTCGCGGGTGGTGGAGGACCCTGCCTGTGTGAATGCGAAGGCGCTGACTGAGAGAGCTCGTGTGTGTGAGAAGCGTCTGGCTAGATTTTGGTCTGTCTGGTACAAGGAGTATGTCAGGACCCTGCCGCCTTCTGTCAGAAGGTTCAGGCCTCAAGGTAAGCTGTCCGAGGGCTCCATGGTCATGCTGCAGGAGGATAACGTGCCGCGCATGAGGTGGGTACATGGCGTCGTCACGAGACTGATCACCGGCCGAGACGGAAAGGTGAGGTCGGCAGAAGTCCGGACTCCGTCTGGTCTAAAAACCCGTCCCATCCAGAGGCTTTTTGACCTCGACCCGCTGTCCTCTGAGCCGTGAACCGCTCACATTCGTCGGCGGTGTTAGACCGCAGTGTTCGTCAGCAGTGTTAGTTTGTTTTTCTCTCGTCTGCGATTACAGGCAAGGTAGTGTTGGGCGCCGACTGTAGATGTCGCTCTGAGCAGTGAGGCGGCGTGCAGAGGACGCGCTGAGTTGACAGTTGCGTGTGGTGGCTCGCAGAGTGCAGGGTGCAAGTGGCCCTGGTGATGTGACAAGTTTGATGTCGTTTGCGTCGAGGTTGGCGTTTGTTTGTTTGAAGAGTGGTGAATCGATTTACGTTTGCGTTTGTAGACTGATGCGTTTGACTCAGATTCTCTGTCTGAATCTGTCTGAATTGAATTAAGTGATGCCGTCTTGTTCGCTGTGAACTATGGATCTGTCGTTGTAAGATCGGTTCCGTACCTGTGTGAAACGCGCCCTCTGAAGTTCGCATTTCAGGGGGGAGGATGTTACGGAATTTAGTGAACGCTTCTCTTGGCAGCGATTCAACGACTATTTTTTAGCAGTGGTTTAGTGTTTCGACGGTCGTCGACGTGGCCTAAGAAATGTGATGTGGTGCGCAGGAATCGTCTGATTCAATATATATACGCATTGAAATGGCTTGAGCCACGTGTCTCCAGGTCTGTGTCGGAGATTTTTCGGATTTATTTGAGAGTTGAGAGTTGAGTCAAGTTGAATTGTCAACACAGAGACAATGGCAATGAAGTCTTTAACTTAAGCTTTTAACTTTGTTTTCTTACCTCCAGGAAGCGCTTCTGTTGCTGCAGGGATATGATTTTCTCCGCTTGCCCTGCGTAGTGGGCCTCCGCCTCCTGCTCCGAGAGCTGCAGTGATCGGCGCCACCCGCCGAGGCGCTCTTTGATGTTCTGCGAACAGAAACACGAGTCATGAAACAAGTAGCATGCAACCAGCAGCAAAAACCGCTGAGGAACACAAGCAATCAAATCGTTTATTATCAAACTGACACGCCGATCAGGGGGGACCATCGCTGCGCATCGAAGCCGAGCGCCAGGGCGTCGGTGAAGAGGTAGTCGATGAAATCATCAAGAGCTCGGATATGGCCGCGCAGCGTGGCGGTCTGGAGCTTGCCGCTGTTCTTTTGTGTTAGGATCCATCCCCCCTCTTCCTCACAGGGCAGGATCGGACTCGCGAGGGCCCGCAACAGGTCTTCGGCCACGGTGCTCTCCAGGTGTTTGTCGACGATGGCGGGAACCCAGAGTCGCACCTGCGGACATAACAAGAATATTGTGAAGTCTTTTCTCTTAATATACTCTAGTCATACAAGAACTAGCTAGATAACAGCTCAAAAAAGACCAGGTATTTATTTGTTTATCAATATCCAGCGTTCTACGCTTTTGTTGGAACTCACCGCTCTGAGTCGCCGTTGGATGACGATCTCCCCCTGAGAGCCACCGGGCACGCCCCGCAGATATGTCGTGTAGCGCTGGAGGATCGCCACCGTGTTAGGAGGGCGGCTGTCATCCACCTCTGCCGGCTTCTCCACGCGCGTACAGTTGTCGTAGTAGGGCTCCTGGAACTATCGGTAGTTGTACAGGGTGTCCCGATATTGATTGCGCCTTCATCCCATCTCATTCATAATAAAACAAAAAATGGTGGGTACTTTGTTTATGTACCGGTGCATCCTCCCCTTAGTTGACTGGACTCCCTAGTCCCTCATGCGCTCAGGCATCCCGCACACCAGATTGTCCAGCGTCTCGGCGCTGATCGGACGCCTAGCGTTCTGCAGATTGCTGACCAGCGCCTTCTCGGAGGTGGGCGGCTCTCTCTTGTCCAGCTCGCCCATCACGATAGCCCAAAGATTTTCGACGGGAGACCAGTCAGGGCTGTTGCCGGGTCATACGCCCTTCCCCCAGAACCTTTGGAGGTTGTCGCGGCACCACTGCTGAGTCTTCGCCGCGTTGTGCGCTGGTGCGCTGTTTTGCTGAAAAATCACTTCTGACATCTCGGGCAGAAGTTTTACCGTGGTATCAGCGCCGAGACGCTGGACAACCTGGTGTGCGGGATGCATGAGCGCATGAGAGAGAGCATTCGACTAAGGGGAGGATGCATCGGTAAATAAACCAAGTACCGATCATTTTTTGTTTTATTATGAATGTGATGGGATGAAGGCGCAATCAATTTCGGGACACCCTGTAAGCATTTGGTATGTGATGTTTAAACTCGTGCTAAAGACGGAATGATATTGTGTTTCTGTTATAACTGATACACTCATCGTACTAACACTCATGATACTAAGCACCCCTTATCAAGATATTTACCAACAATAGGATCATATTACACATCGCTGTCGTTAATATCTGATAAACAAAAAAGCATCACATACATCATCGGGGCAGCTCCGACTCCCGAAGTGTCGGTCTAGGTGAGCAGGGACGTTGACGACAGTGGCGTAGAAGCCCTCAGCTCCACATCGCCAGCGCGGTCGGTTCCGTGGCTGAGGCGGTCTGTAGGTCATCAGCCGATTACGAGCAGTTCGCGCCGAGCTGTAGCGCCGAGCTGAGCGTGGGCGGCAGCTCCGTTGGTGGAGGCGGAAGGCGCTCGGTGTCCTTTGCCAGCTCCGTCTGAAACAAGCGAATGATGGATTTATGTTAACAAGTATATTGCACTGAGATGATTTTCCTACCCAACATATAAAATCACTTTATTATCCAGAGAAATGGTAACATTTGTGAAGTTTTAACAACAGCATAGATGCCAACAGATACAAAACGCTGGGACGGACAACTAAGAACCCTTTTCCTTCGTTTCTTACATCCAGGAAGCGCTGCTGCATCCTCAGCGGCACGATCCTCTCCGCTTGGCCGAGGAAGTGGGCCTCCGCCTCCTGCTCGGTTGTTTGGAGAGATCGGCGCCAGCCGGCCAGGCGCTCCTTCATGGTCTGCGAACGGAAACACGAGTCATCAAAGAGGCATAGCATGTAACTAATGTCAAGGTTACACATGTCAAGGGTACACAAACAACCAAACCGTATACTATCATACTGACTTACGTTAGCCAGCGGCGACCACCGCTGAATGTCGAAGCCGACAGCCACAGAGTCGGTGAACAAGTAGTCCACGAAGTCGGCAAGGCCAGTCACTTGTCCACGCAGGGTGGAAGCCCGCAGGCCGCCCTCCCTCTGTTGCATTATCCACCCCC